ACTCTACATCCAAAGGCAACAGGATACACATTCTTTTCAAGTGCACATGGAACATTCTCCAGAATAGACCACATACTAGGCCACAAAAAGAGCCTCAGTAAATTAAAAAAGATTGAAATCCTACCAACCAACTTTTCAGACCACAAAGTTATAAAACAAGAAATAAACTGTACAAAGAAAGCAAAAAGGCTCACAAACACATGGAGGCTTAACAACATGCTCCTAAATAATCAATGGATGAATGACCAAATTAAAATGGAGATCCAGCAATATATGGAAACAAATGACAACAACAACACAAAGCCCCAACTTCTGTGGGATGCAGCGAAAGCAGTCTTAAGAGGAAAGTATACAGCAACCCAGGCATATTTAAAGAAGGAAGAACAATCCCAAATGAATAGTCTAATGTCACAATTATCAAAATTGGAAAAAGAAGAACAAATGAGGCCTAAGCAGACAGAGGGACATAATAAAGATCAGAGAAGAAATAAATAAAATTGAGAAGAATAAAACAATAGCAAAAATCAATGAAACCAAGAGCTGGTTCTTTGAGAAAATAAACAAAATAGATAAGCCTCTAACCAGACTTATTAAAAGAAAAAGAGAGTCAACACACATCAACAGAATCAGAAATAAGAAAGGAAATATCACGACAGACCCCACAGAAATACAAAAAATTATTAGAGAATACTATGAAAACCTATATGCTAACAAGCTGGAAAACCTAAGAGAAATGGACAACTTCCTAGAAAAATACAATCTTCCAAGACTGATCCAGAAAGAAACAGAAAATCTAAACAGACCAATTACCAGCAACGAAATTGAATCAGTAATAAAAAAACTACCCAAGAACAAAACCCTGGGGCCAGATGGATTTACCTCGGAATTTTATCATACATACAGAGAAGACATAATACCCATTCTCCTTTCCAAAAACAGAAGAGGAGGGAATACTCCCAAACTCATTCTATGAAGCCAACATCACCCTAATTCCAAAACCAGGCAAAGACCCCACCAAAAAAGAAAAACTACAGACCAATATCCCTGATGAATATTGATGCAAAAATACTCAACAAAATATTAGCAAACTGAATTCAAAAATACATCAAGAGGATCAAACACCATGACCAAGTGGGATTCATTCCAGGGATGCAAGGATGGTACAACATTCCAAAATCTATCAACATCATCCACCACATCAACAAAAAGGACAAAAACCACATGATCATCTCCATAGATGCTGAAAAAGCATTAGATGAAATTGAACAACCACTTATGATAAAAACTCTCAACAAAATGGGAATAGAGGGCAAGTACCTCAACATAATAAAGGCCATATATGATAAACCCACAGCCAACATCATACTGAACAGCGAGAGGCTGAAAGCTTTTCCTATGAGATGGGGAACAAGACAGGGATGCCCACTCTCCCCACTGTTATTCAACATAGTACTGGAGGTCCTAGCCATGGCAATTAGACAAAACAAAGAAATACAAGGAATCCAGATTGGTAAAGAAGTTAAACTGTCACTATTAGCAGATGACATGCTATTGTACATAAAAAACCCTAAAGACTCCACTTCAAAACTACTAGAATACTGGAATCCAGCAAAGTAGCAGCATACAAAATTAACACACAGAAATCTGCAGCTTTCCTATACAGTAACAATGAACTAAATAGAAAGAGAAATCAGGAAAACAATTCCATTCACAATTGCATCAGAAAGATTAAAATACCTAGGAATAAACCTAACCAAGGAAGTGAAAGACCTATACCCTGAAAACTATAAGACACTCTTAAGAGAAACTAAAGAGGACACTAACAAATGGAAACTCATCCCATGCTCCTGGCTAGGAAGAATTAATATCATCAAAATGGCCATCCTGCGCAAAGCAATATACAGATTCAATGCAATCCCTATCAAATTACCAACAGCATTCTTCAATTAACTGGAACAAATAGTTAAAAAATTCATATGCAAACACCAAAGACCCCAAATAGCCAAAGCAATCCTGAGAAGGAAGAATAAAGTGGGGGTATTTCGCTCCCTGACTTCAACTTCTACTACAAAGCCACAGTAATCAAGAAAATTTGGTACTGGCACAAGAAAAGACCCATAGACCAATGGAACAGACTAGAGAGCCTAGATATAAACCCAAGTATACATGGTCAATTAATATACGATAAAGGAGCCATGGATATACAATGGGGAAATGAACAGCCTCTTCAATAACTGGTGTTGGCAAAACTGGACAGCTACATGTAAGAGAATGAAACTGAATTACTGTCTAACCCCATACACAAAAGTAAACTCAAAATGGATCAAAGACCTGAACATAAATCATGAAACCATAAAACTCTTAGAAAAAAACACAGGAAAAAATCTCTTGGACATAAACATGAGCAACTTCTTCATGAGCATATCTCCCTGGGCAAAGGAAACAAAAGCAAAAATGAACAAGTGGGACTATATCAAACTAAAAAGCTTCTGTACAGCAATGGACACCATCAGTAGAACAAAAAGACATCCTACAGTGTGGGAGAATATATTCATAAATGACATATCCAATAAGGGGTTGACATCCAAATTATATAAAGAGCTCATGCACCTCAACAAAGAAAAAGCAAATAATCCAATTAAAAAATGGGCAGAGGATCTGAACAGACACTTCTCCAAAGAAGAAATTCAGATAGCCAACAGGCACATGAAAAGATGCTCCACATCCTTAATCATCAGAGAAATGCAAATTAAAACCACAATAAGATATCACCACACACCAGTTAGGATGGCCAACATCCAAAAGACAAACAACAGCATATGTTGGAGAGGATGTGGAGAAAGGGGAACCCTCCTGCTGGTGGAAATGTAAAATAGTTCAACCATTGTGGAAAGGAGTATGGAGGTTCCTCAAAAAACTCAAAATAGAAATACCATTTGACCCAGGAATTCCACTCCTAAGAATTTACCTGAAGAAAACAAGATCCCAGATTCAAAAAGACATATGCACCCCTATACTTATCACAGCACTATTTACAATTGCCAAGAAATGGAAACAACCTAAGTGTCCATCAGTAGATGGATAGAGATGTGGTAAATATACACAACAGAATATTATTCAGCCATAAGAAGAAAACAAATCCCACCATTTGCAACAACATGGATGGAGCTAAAGGGTATTATGCTCAGTGAAATAAGCCAGGTGGAGAAAGACAAGTATCAAATGATTTCACTAATCTGTGGAGTATAAGAACAAAGAAAAAACTGAAGGAACAAAATAGCAGAAGATTCACAGAACCCAAGAAGGGACTAACAGTTACCAAAGGGAAAGGGATTGGGGAGGATGGGTGGGAAGGGAGGGATAAGGGGGAAAAAGGGGCATTATGATTAGCACATATAATGTGGGTAGCGGGGACATGGGGAAGGCAGTATAACACAGAGAAGATAAGTAGTGATTCTATAGCATCTTACTATGCTGATGGACAGTGACTGTAATGGGGTATGTGGTGGGAACTTGATAATAAAGGGGAGTCTAGTAACCATAATGTTGTTCATGGAATTGTACATTAATGATAGCAAAAATAGCATCCATTCCAAAGAGCAGTTAAACCTGAAAATCTAAGAAAAAGGCAACTATTACAGAATTCAGTACATTTGAATGCACAGATGAAAAAGACTACTCCAGAAGTTAGGGATAAAACCAACATAATTTTGGCTTTCATGATGTTGACTAAGTGACATTATCATTTATTGCTATCATTAGCTTCTTGGTATTGCATTAATTATAAGACTAATGACCCTCTTTCCTAAAATATTTATACTCAGTGTTTTTTACTGTTCTTCATACTTGAAATAACTTCCATGGAACATATCATAAACTTACAATAGGAAATCAAGCTACACATATCAAAGAATTTCAGGTGGGAATTGACAAATAATGGCATTTCATTTAATAGCTGCTAAAATGCAAAGAATTGGCTAGGTATATAGACTGATGTTTCTTTCTATCCAAATTTAATCTGCTACCATCTCTGAAGGAAAAAGCATTCTTTAACAGACTTTGTGTGTTTAATTTTAACCCAGGGCAAATTTTTATGACTGAGTGATAAACCCACAAAAATGGAGTTCATATTGGAAGCCCTTACATTACTAACTATAATGATACCAGTGGGCATTACCACTTATAAAAGTGTAAAAAACAAAATGAGCAGATTGTTATTATAAAAACTCGATCTGCATCACACATATCACCCAAGAGATTGATATTTCATGCTTATAAAACTTAACACAAAATTAAATTGCAAATATTTTCTAACAATCTTCTATAATTATGGCCTAAAGCAATACACTGCTAATATGAAGCATTTGTTCAGCTCTACTGGACATATTTCTATATGATTTATGTGAAAGAAGGTTTAATTTCCTTCTTCACAGATTTGGTAATGAGGTTTCTTTCCTTATATTAAGTGAAGAAAATAAAAGAACTTTTTAAAAATTAAGCCAGCAAAATGTAACATTGAATTATTAATAAATAGCAAAATTAATCAACTGGGGGGTTCTTCTTGTGTGTATGACTATGTCATTTCTAACATCAGCCATTTTTCCATTACCCAAATACATAAGAAATACTTCATATCCAAATACATAACTAAATTATTTCATAAAGAAAATTCATTTCCATTCTTTAGGCACAAAACCAGAATAATAAATTTCAAGTAAAATAGATTATTATTATTCCCCCTGAAATCTAGAAAGATAAAAAGCAGTTTCAACCATTTTTATAAAAAAGGAATAAGAGAAAGGAGAATTATGGAACCAATACTCTGTCTTCATCTACTAGGATTATGAATAACACTGAGTCCATGAGGTAGAAGAAAAGATAAAACTGATTTCAGTATTATCAACCTGATACATAATGAAACCCATGGGTCATGATTTCTAGCCAGTGAAGCATTTGCTTATTAGTATGTTTGAGAATACACATGGAAAGACATAATGTTTTCATCTGGAAGTTAAAAAAAAAAAACTATTGCATTCAGCTTTATGTTGAAATCTATGACAACTAGAAAAATTATCAGATTTTATCAAAGTATAATAGGCAATTCTTACCTTAAGCATTCAGCATCATTTTGAGGCTTTTCATTGATTTTTATTTTTTCTGCCTCTAGGTATTTGGTAGTACAAATGGCTTCATTCTTTTTATCTTCAAAAACTAAACAATTAAGAAAACTTTTATAATCTTCTAAAAATATAAAAGTTATCTTTATTCATTCACAAAAATAATGCTCTAATTTGTGGCACTTAATGCAAAATGTATGTACCAATGATTTTTATTTTCCTACTCTAATATAGCAATTAAGAGCACAAGAAAAGATAATAAAATTTGTAACGTTAAAAATGTCAGATTTAACGTTTCAATTCAGTGTTTTACCTATTTCTTTTTTATACCAATAATAGCACTATAGCCACATATGTGAATACATGTTGAAAGAATAACACAACCCAATCATGTGTATGTAACTATATTCATCAGCAAAATAAAACTAATTCACAAAGATCATACCTTTAAGTTTTTTCTGCAGAGTAAATAATTCTTCTATTAATTCACTCTTTTCTTTTTGAAGTTCATTTAACTGGCCACTTTCATGTTCCATTGACTTCATTTCTAGAAACAAATAGACAAATAAAAACATACTTTATTTATTTAGGCTTTGCCTTAAATATGTCAGCAATTATAAATTTTTTCTTGTGTAGTAAAAATTTAAGCAGCATACCATCAATTTTAAGCCCCAACAATCTTCCTTTGTTCATCTAGGAACTGTTTGTAATAACAGACCAGGATTCATTAAGTAACAACTGCACACAAACATGTATGTCAGTTGACAGACTACCAAAAAGAATTCAAAATAATGTAGTATCACTAAGTAAAACATGTTCCTCAATGAGATAAGAAAACTCCAGCCTTCATAACAAAAGAATATTTAAAATTACATTGTATACACTTTAGACTTATAAAGATGACAGCATGAGAAGTGAGACAGAAACCTCCTCCCAAAACCACATATAGTACGAAAATATAAATAAAACTAATCCTGAAAGAGCAACAGGAAAGAAGACTACAACAGACTGCCTACATCTGGAGAAAAGAGAAGATCTCATGGAAAAGGGTAAAGTAGCAAAGCCATAATCTGGCGAGACCCCAGCCCTTCCTCCACCCCAGCTCACCAGCAGGAGGAAGAGAAACGGAGCAGGGAGAGAGAGGAAGGGGAGACCTAAGACTGCTGGACACCCAGCCCTGGAGATCTGCTCTGGGAGTACAAAGTTACATTTCATGGTGCTGTGGAGATTAGTGGGGCTGGAAAGCAAAGACAGGCAGAATACTCAGAGAGACCTAGATTCCAGCTGCTTGTGGAGAACAGGTACCCACAACCAGCCACTTTGGGACAAAAGAAAGGCAGGCACTCTGAGAGACTTCCCAATGAGAGGGATGTTAAAGGGGCAAGGATTGCACAAAGCTTGCTGCTGAGGAGAAAAGACAGGTGGACAAAATTGTCCCAGCACACTCAGCCCAGCAGGTTGTGAACTTTCAGGAGCTACAGGCGCTCCATCCCCCTAGCTGGCAATGCAACCTGATGCCGCCCCCACTGAAATAAGCAGCCAGTCACTCCTTCCTCCCAGTCAGCACCAGCTTGCAAACCTGCTGGCCCACCATTGTGCCAGGACAGCCAGAGGGTGGCCCCACTTACAGCAGCTACAGGGGCATAGCATAGAGGCTGCTCCCTGTGCAGTTGGCTCACTGGCCAGAGCCGTTGAGGGAGAGACTGCAACCGAGAACCAGGAAAGAGATTATTCCTCCTGGTGGCACCAGGACCACTGGAATGTAACCCTCACCATCATTTCAGGTGCTGAGCAACTCCAGACAGTAAAGCTATTGAGCACTAGAGAGCACCACCTGCACAATGTTATTATTCCATATTATTCATTACAAATAAGAAACATCAAAAGAATCTGGTACAAACCAAAACCCCAAAAAGAGGGCCAAGTTGGAGTTTGTTGTAGAAATAAAGGGACGAATGGCATTCTAGGTAGAGGAAACAATATTATCAATATTGTAGAAGCTTATAGCCATATATATAGTGTGTACAATGAAATGTAGTTTTTAAAAATTAAGGTTATCATTGATGTACACTCTTATAAAGGTTTCACATGATCAACATTGTGGTTACTACATTCACCCATATTATCAAGTCCTCCCACACCCCATGACAGTCACTGTCCATCAGCATAGTAAAATGCCACAGAGTCACTACTTTTCTCTGTGCTACATTGTCTTCCCCATGAACCCACACACATACCATGTGTGCCAATCATAATGCCCTTCAAACCCCTTCTCCCTCCTTCCCCACCTACCCTTCTCTACCTCTCGCCTTTGGTAACTGTTAGACCCTTCTTGGAATCTGTGAGTCTCCTGCTGTTTTGTTCACTGAATTTTGTTTTGTTGTTGTACTCCACAAATGAGTGAAATCATTTGATACTTGCCTTTCTCCGCCTGGCTTATTTCACTGAGCTTAATACCCACTAGCTCCATCCATGTTGTTGCAAATGGCAGGATTTGTTTTCTTCTTATGAATAATATTCCATTGTGTATATGTACCACACCTTCTTTATCCATTCATCTACTGATGGACACTTAGGCTGCTTCCATATCTTGGCTAAATAGTACTGCGATAAACATAGGGGTGCATATGTCTTTTTAAATCTGGGATCTTGTTTTCTTCAGGTAAATTCCTAGGAGTAGAATTCCTGTGTCAAATGGTATTTCTATTTTTAGTTTTTGAGGAACCTCCATATTGCTTTCCACGATGGTAACTAATTTACATTCCCACCAACATCGTAGAAGGGTTCCCCTTTCTTCGCATCCTTGCCAGCATTTGTTGTTTCTTGTCTTTTGGAAGTTGGCCATACTAACTAGTGTGAGGTGATAAATCATTGTGGTTTTAATTTGCATTTCCCTGATGATTAGTGATGTGGAGCATTTTTTCATGTGCCTGTTGGCCACCTGAATTTCTTCTTTGGAGAAGTGTCTATTCATATCCTCCAATCACTTTTTTTTACTTTTTTAAAAATTTTGTTATTAATCTACAATTACATGAAGAACACTATGTTTACTAGGCTCTCCCCTACCCCAAGTTCCCCCCACAAACACCATTACAGTCACTGTCCATCAGCATTATAAGATGTTGTAGAATCACTACTTGTCTTCTCTGTGTTGCACAGCCCTCTGCTTTCCCACAGCCCCCACATTATACATGCTAATCATAATACCCCTTTCTTCTTCTCTGCCCTTATCCCTCCCTACCCTCCCATTCTCCCCAGTCTCTTTCCCTTTGGTAACTGTTAGTCCATTCTTGGGTTCTGTGAGTCTGCTGCTGTTTTGCTCCCTCAGTTTTTCCTTTGTTCTTATTTTCCACAGATGAGTGAAAGCATTTGGTATTTGTCTTTCTCTGCTTGGCTTATTTCACTGAGCATAATACCCTCTAGCACCATCCATGTTGCTGCGAATGGTAGGATCTGTTTTTTT